CGGTGTTTATGGTTTTTTTTTTTTTTTTTTTTTTTTTTTTTTTTTTTTTTTTTTTTTTTCTGTTCAGCTGCTAACAGATGAAACAAATCTGACATATGGTGAAACATATGGTTAGCATTTCCGATCTCTTCCTCTTGTTTACTGTTTTCTATTATGGCAAAGCAAGAAACTCTCTTCCATTGAATCCCTTTTGTTTTCCCTTTGCTATCAGGGCAAGAAATCTGTACTTTGGTGGGGAGCGGCACCTGCTGGAAACCGGGTCCAGCGTCCCTTAAACCACCAGTCCCCCCGCCACCGAAAACCTCAGTCCCTTAATAACATAGTTGCTGTACAGTGTCTGGGGCTATGGTCATGGTCATTTCATTTCTGCTCTGGAGCTGCTTAATCCCTTGGGGCTGCACTTGTTACCCTACCCTTCCCGTTCTATCGCTTTGTGGTGGCCTGGCCCTGTTCCCTGGAGGATTAGTTTAGCTACAGTCTTCCCCCGAATACAACGCACGGTCATTATAGCTGAATTTGGTGTATCTTTCAGTCTAAATTCAGCTATAATGACCGTACGTTGTATTCGGGGGAGGACTGTAGAGGCTACTCATCTGTAACCTGAAAATCCCATTCCCTTCACTCATCCTGCACCCCATGAAACTGCAGCTGCTCCCCACCAATAGATGGAGCTTCCCCGACGGTGCTAGATGTGTCTGCTCTTATCAGCACACCTACCATCCAATCGAGTTGTTTTCACAAAAAAAAAAAAAAAAAAAAAAAAAAGAAACTGCAGCCCTTCCCTTTACTGAAATTCAGAAGGTTGAAAGTAAAGTAGACTGAATTAGTTAGCTTGCAAGGGAGCTGGGTACGCCGCCTTCGGTACTCAGGTTCTTACCAGAATCTTTCCCCGTCCTTTGCCCTTTGGAACACCCGTCGAGCCACCAGTACCGCGCCCAGCTATCTGCAGCTGCGCACTAGCAGAGATGGGCAGCCCCGAAGAGGGGACACAAAAGATTTGACGTTTGGGTACACGGTGCTGTACATTTGGCCCAAATGCAGCACACATACAGCTGCCATTTCCAGGCCACTCTCCACAACGGTTCGGCAGCCCCGTGGTAAGTTTCACGGCAATTGAGTATTGGTTTAGACTTTAAACTTGAATCCGCGGGTCCATCTCCCTCTGCTACTTTCCTCCAACGCAGCAAGCGCCACGGCATTTGGGATGTACTGGCTCAGCGAGCGAGGACCAGTTCATCCACTTTGAAGTTTGAGCGCCGGTTTGCCGCGGCAGCTCAAACTGGATGAACTTGTGTTTGAGTGGCAGACCGGTACATCCCTCAAGTCGCAATGTGTTCACGGCTGCGACTCAGAAATTAGCCTGTGTATTTCTGTTTTTCAGAAATCGTAGGCGTTGGACAAAATACACAGGGCTAAGACTGCACTGCCAGTGGTGGTTTAAACCCTGGAGTCTCTCCCTTGAACCGCCAGTTGAACCGAACTCAGTATGAGCACACCACTTTTTGCTTTGGCCAACTACCGTCTTCACCCGAATAGAACGCCCGGTCATTATCGCTGCATCTGGACTGAAAAATGCCCCAAATACAGCTATAATAACCGGGCGTTATATTCGGGTGAAGACGGTAGTCCCAAGGCAGGTAAGAGAGGGGGGGTGCGCAAAATTCTGAGTACCCTGACTTCAGCGACTTGTGATTCTAATTTCCAGAGATAAAAGAATCTGAAGAAAAAAGGTATGTTGCTTCAGTTACTCTGCATCAGGGTAAAAAGTTAGGTGATGAACCAAACTGGTTTGGCCCATGGAAAAATAATAAAATAAAATAATAAAATATTCATGACACACCGAACAATCAAAGTCAGTGTGGTCCAGTACGAGTGACGGTGCAGCCTGCGCAGGCATGAGAGGTTTTTTTTTTTTTTTTTTTTCTTCCCCATTTTCATGAACCGGTGGTTTAAAGCATCCGGGCGCAGCCCATTCGAAGAGAGGTTTCAGGCCAGGCAGGCCCTGGGAGTCTACTTTCTCCCAGTTTGTGGACTTGGCCTATGGTGAATTGGTGCCAGGAACATCAGTCTGAGTGCTTGACTACAGTCAAAGACACATGATGTACATCGCACTTTAGACGTTTGAAGTACACACATGCACGAGACATGCGAAGCACGGGCATGCAAGGCACACCACACTGGACGCGAGACAAACATGAAGACCCAGAGCAGGTATAGTAGTAGAAATAGAAGCACACAACGGTACATCAGCACAGTCACGCAGCCGTAGTGCTTGACTATATTCAAAGACACATGATGTAAATCGCATTTTAGACATTTGAAATACACACATGCAAGACACATGCGAAGCACAGTGCTTGACTATATTCAAAGACACATGATGTAAATCGCATTTTAGACATTTGAAATACACACATGCAAGAGACATTCGAAGCACACGCATGCAAGGCACACCACACTTTAGGTGAGACAAATATGAAGACCCAGAACAGGTATAGCAGTAGAAATAGAAGCACAAGGATACATAAGCACAGTCACGCAGCCGTGGCACTTGACTACATTCAAAGACAACATGATGTACAGTGCACTTTAGACATGTGAAGTACACACATGAAAGCGACATGCGGGACAGCGCAATGTAGTGGAGATGAAGACGAAGACGAAGACCTAGCGCAGGCAACTGGTGAATTTAAACCACCAGTACATACAGTGCACTTTAGGCATGCGAAGTACACACATCCAAGCGACATGCGGGACATTGCAATGTAGTGGAGACGAGGATGAAGACCGAGCACAGGTAACATGGCGTTTTTCGGTGTTAATGTGGTGGGTGAATCAGTGCGCCTTGTGGGTCTGTATCCGTTCATGTCAGAGGGGGAAGGAGGGGGGAGGGGGGGGAGGAGTGGAGAATCCGAGAAAAAGGGGGGGGGAGGAGTGGAGAATCCGAGAAAAAAACTATGTTGTGCAAAAACATAAACTGTACAATCCGAGAAAAAAACTGTTCCGTGCAAAAACATAAAGTTCTTTCCCGAATTTGAAGTAAGAAACGAAAATAAAAAACTAGGCTATTGGCTCGCCCGGCCACGTGACACGGGCGTGCAACCTGGGCAAGTTGCCCGAGGGTCACCTACACGGGGCACCCCGTGCAGGCAAAAAATCATCCCTTTTTTTTTTTTCTTTTATGGGGTAAGGGTTTTCCTCGCATGTGCAAAGGAACCCAAACCCAGGCTCCTTCCTCTTTTCAAGCGTTGGCTGTCAAGGGGGGTAAGAGGGGTATAAATTGGTTTTTGTGGGCGTAAAGGGGTTTAGAGACGGCTGCATCACTCCACCTTTGTTATTTTCTTTTTTGTCTCTGGTTCTGTAAGGAATTCGGATGTAACCCTCAGCCAAACGTCGTTTGTATTCCAATCCTACACAACATATCTTTCTTCTGGATTTCTTTTTTTTTCTTCTTTTTCTGGAAAACAAAAAACTCCTATTCTGGATTTTCCAAATTATTATTATTGTTGTTTCTTGGTGCTGGGGCTGCCCGGAACCCTGCCCGGGGTACATGACCGGCTGGGCACCCCGGTGGGAATCTGGGCACATGATGGGTGCCTGGGCACCCGGACAAACAGCCTAGATAAAAAATACATATTTTATTTTACTTTCTATTCATTTTTGGCCTGGTCAGGCAAGTGGTCCCAGACCAATTATTTCATCATAATTTATTAATTAATTTATTGGGGAGAATTGCATCTGTACCCCACTTAAAGATGGGAATACCCGGCATACCCAGTCCCAGCATCAACTTGCATCCTGACACTGAAAGCGGCCGGTGGAAATTACTAGCATGCCCAGGACCAAAGTGGACCTAGGTTGGTACCGCAAAACTGCAGTTATAACCAACTACCGGAATGCAAATATTATGGACGTACCCAGGCAAAATTGAAGGCATGCCTGGGACTGAGGTGGACCGGCCAAATTATGCATATGCCCTACTACCAGATGGCTGAAATTGTGCTCATACCCAGCAGCTGCCAGGCCACATGTTTCACTTGGTGGGCATGACCATAATTCTGTGGTCGGCCATCCAACGCCCACCCCTGGGTGGGGGTACACCCACAATTTTGCAGCCCGGTTTCTGCACATGAGCATAATTTCATGGTCTAGAACAGAGGGCTAGCAGAACAAGGCAGGGTGAATCTACAATTTCGTACAGGGCAAAAGTTTGGGGGTACTATGCAAAGATAAAGGTCGGGGGTATAAATGCAAGTTGGGCGTTGGGACTGGGTCTAGCCGCTATTCCCATCTTTACGCGGGGAACAGATGCAATTTTGCCTACATATTTTTACAATCAGGACTCCTTGTTTATTTATTTATTTTTTTGGGAAAACTAGGGCGCAGTCAAGGTTTTCAGTTTTAAATGCGTTTCAGTCACAGTTTCGCGACTTTTGCTCCAAAGCGAGGAAAATCATGAATGTATCCGACCCAGCTTCAGGGTTGGGTGGGGATGTGTTGTATTCAAGGGATGCCTGAAATGGATTTACACCTGAAAATGTGACTGCGCCGTGGTTACCCCTTTTCTTCCCCTTTTTTTTTTCTTTTTTTTTTTTGACCCCTTTTCTTTCCCTACAATCAGGATGCTATCTTACACAAGGAGTGAGCAGCGAGCACGGGTGCAATGATGCAATCCGAAAGGCCAGGAATAATCCAATAGCAAGGAATGACAAGTTTGGGTTTGGTGAAAAAATTTTCTTTTTTTTTGTTCTCCCTGAAGAAAAACTTTTCACCCAAACCTGAACTTCTTTCCAGGTGGGAGAGAACTTATCCCCCCAACCCCCAAACCCCTTTTCATGTAAAACTTTCCCCATCATACACAGTTGGCAAAAACAAATCAGTGTTTAAGGCGAAGAAGTGTTTAGGGCGAAATACCGGGTCCATGAACCGCGAGTGCAAATTGGGGCTCTATGAACCACGAGCGCTACCATTTGCCATTTTATTTCTATGAACCACGAGCGCTACGATTTGCCATTTTATTACGCAACGGCGCGAAGAATACCAGGGTCCATGAACCGTGAGTGCAAATTGGGGGTCCATGAACCGCAAGTGCTACAATTTGCCATTTTATTTCCCTAAACGGAATGCCCGGTACCAAATCCGACGCACCCTCATCCTCGATTTCTGGCTGTTGGTCTTTGGAATTCTGAAATGAACAATCTGGGTAAGTGGGACTTGGCCTGTGTTCCCTGGGCGAAGGGGGCCATGCTGATCTCCTCTTCCTTGTATTGTTCAATTTCTAAGGCATGTCCCAAAGGCTTGCAACCAGGGACTTACCGCCACTATAAAAATAAATATAAGAAAAAGATTTGACATTTCTACGTTTTTCACTTTAGCACATAGGATGTCGTCCCGAGGCCCCGAGGTATCCAGTTTTCTGTGCTTGGACTGAGCTGCGATGTATTTTACCTGTTTGTGCTCCTCTTCAGATTTTCAAAGCGTGCTCATGGATGCGCATGCAATAGACGAGGGCGGAGGGCAGGCGGGTGGGGAGGGGGTGATGAATGGATGAACGGGTGGGCAGGCGAGCAGGCAGGCAGGTGGCCAGACGGAGGTGCTGGTATTTGGCATGCACATTGCAAAAGTATGGTCCCAAATCCTTCCAAATGTGTGTTCAATTCCAAACAGACTGGTGCATTTAAATTTCGCATTTACACAACAATACTCCCATTTACCTCGACCTACGATGCCCAGATGGACATAAGAGGGAGGGATAGGATGTGGGACCCCCCCCCCCCACCACCCCCCAGCCCCCACCCAACACACACACACACACGGAGAAGAGAGAGAGAGAGAGAGAGAGAGAGAGAGAGAGNAGAGAGAGAGAGAGAGAGAGAGAGAGAGAGAGAGAGAGAGAGAGAGAGAGAGAGAGAGAGAGAGAGAGAGAGAGAGACCCTCTGTCTCTTGGCCTGGTACCATGAAGCTTGGCAATTCTCCATTTTCTCATCTTCCAGGGAATAAAAATCACTCCACTCCCATGCACACCCTTACCGCTTCACACCCATTCACCACTTCTTATATCAGTGCACTGGCCTTGGTTTGCAACAACTTCATATCCTGTACATCAACCTCGCCCCGTCTGACCGCTTTCATTGTCAGGCACAGCGCATCCTTTGCTGCTGACATCAGCTCAGAAAAACCTTTTGAATTGCACCCGTATGTAATCGATCTCACTTCATCATCTCTTTGTCCCTGATCTCCCTCCTTGCTCTGCAATTTGAGAACACTGCCAGACCGCTCACCCTCGTTGTGACCTTGCCCTTCCTTGAGACTCTGTAAGGAAAGCTCATTTTCATTACCAGTGTGTCCGTGCCCGTCCCCTGCGACTTCATTTCTGAAGACGCGGTGGGGAGCGCTGCCAAACAATCTCAACCGTTCATCCTCGGATCTTTGCAGCTCGTCTGCACTGTCCTCCACCTGCCGTGCTGAACTCGGAAGTGATGCTCGGTCCGAATTGTGCTGTGCTAACACATTTCTAGACCTCAGCTTTTCTCTCGCCAGAACTTCAGCCTGTAGGCTCGATGCCATCACAGCAGCCCGGTCAATCACCGCTTGAGGGATCTGGCCAAAACGGACACGAACCAACGGGCCTAGGTCAGTTGCTACACCAATGAACTGTTGAAATACAGACCTGAGTTTGAACCCAGACGGAACTAGAATGAAATCAAATCATTCAGGGGCGGGTCTATATGCAGCGATAACACCTCACGGCCTTCACCCCTTGAAAATGGAAAAAGGAAAGGGAATTCAAAAGAAAAAACACGGGACATGAAAGCTATCACCGCTCCCATCCCCAGCTCCACTGAAATCCATCCCCAGCACCACACCCACATAAAACCTCAGAAAAAACACATTTCCTCTAATCGACCAAGCAACAGATACCGACATGCAATGTTCTTACCTTTGCGAAATTCCTTCGTTCTTTCATGAGGGCAAAAGCAAGTCTGGTAGGTAAAGCAGCCCATCGACGGGCCCAGACCAGAGGTGAAAAGCAGCACAAATGAAACGATATACAATATGAAATTGAGGATCAATGTTCAGTTTTGGTACACCCATGAAGTGTTGAAGTACCGACCTAAGTTCGAATCTGCGTAGCACGCCGAACACGTTCGGTGCCCCCACCGAACGTCCAAACACGTTCGGACGTTCGGCCGAGCGGGGACCGAACGTGGATTTGGGCCTCCCGAACGCATTCCACACTGGCCCGGTACGGGGCCCATTTCGACCGTCGGGGGCCTGGGGAGGTCTCCGCTGCACGGGAAACGACAGGGTGGGGTCTCCACTGAGAGAGAGAGAGAGAGAGAGAGAGAGAGAGAGAGAGAGAGAGAGAGAGAGAAATCCGTCGTCGCCCTCTTCCAACTCCCCTCCCTTATTGACATTCCCTACTCCTGCTCCCGACTCCCTCCTCCTCCGCGCGGTTGCCACGTGGCAACCGCCCCACATTTTTTTTTCTTCTTTTTCTTTGTATTATTTTTCTTTATTCTTCTTCTTCGTATTATTCTTCTTTCCTCTTCTTCTTCTTCTTCTTCTTCTTCTTCTTCTCCTCCTCCTCCTCCTCCTCCTCATCTTCGACTTCGTCTTCTTCCCTCCTCCATCTCCAACTCCTTTGTCATCATCCCACTCCCGATCCCCCAAGATCCTCCTTCCCGCCCTCCCAAATCCCTTGTTCTCCCTATGGTTTCCACGTGGCAACCGCTGCGATGTCCCCTCCTCCTGCTCCCGAATCCGTCCACCTACGCACACAGGTGTGTGTGTGTGTGTGTATGTGTGTGTGTGTGTGTGTGTGTGTGTGTGTGTGTGTATGTGTGTGTATGTGGTGAATGGTCATTGCCCTTTGCCCCCCAACCCTCACCCCTATTATCCGTATATTATATATATATTAAAATATTAAAATATTAAAATATATATATCAATAATATAATATATATTTATGTTCGGGCTCGGTATTTTTCGGCCCGTGTTCGGGTTCGGTACTTTTCGGCCCGTGTTCGGGTCCAGACCTGGAGCGTCTGCACTGCGGTCCGGATGTCCAGATCGTCGCCATGAAAAAAAAAGAAAAAAAGATGCAGGCATCCAATAATGGGGTGACTGGATGTACACAGCCCAGTGAAGATACACACCTCCGCCAGCTTAGCAACATGGAGGCCAAAGCTGCAGCTTGCGACGCCTGGCACTAGTTTGTAGAGAAAGGTAATATCGCTTGCAGACTCCTTTCCAGCACCAGCTCCATCACTCGTCCCTTTGTGTGCGTGTTGCGCATCGACCTTGCCTGCTTTTAAAGACGATGCCGCCGCTGTTTGTGAAGATTGCGATGCCAGGAAGGAGACAAAGTATGCTGCCACCTGACCTGTAAACTCCACCACCAACTCTGCCACGCTCGGATAGTGGGTCACAAAAAGTGTCAGACATTTTGTCTCCTTAAGGAGATGTTTCAGTGTCGCGTAGGCGATCGCAACACCATCATGAGTGCTGGTCCCACGCCCCAGCTCGTCAATAATAACGAGTGAGCGGTTTGTTGCCCCCTGCAGAATGCTGCTTGTCTCACTCAACTCCTCAAGGAAGGTGCTTCTCCCCTTCTGCAGACTGTCACTCGCCCCCATGCGTGTGTAAACTCCATCCACAACATGGAGTCGTGCCACTGTCGCCGGCACATACGAGCCCACCTGAACCCACCCACCCACCCACCCACCCACACACACACACACATACTTATGCGCATACATGGATATACACATGCCCACACGTACCCGTGCATTCACCCACGCCCACACAAATGTGCACGCACACACACACACACACACACACACACACACACACACACACACACACACACACACACACACACACACACACACACACACACACAGAGGAAGAAGGAATCAGCGAGCCAAGGATAGAAGCATCAGTTTGCAGGAAACCCCACCCTGGTCCGAAACTACCGTCTTCACCCGAATAGAACGCCCAGTAATTATCTCTGTATCTAGCCTCAGAGTTGCCCCAAATACAGGCATAATGACCTGGCGTTCTATTCTGGTGAAGACGGTAGCCTGTGGGAGCGGACTGCTGGAGAGACACTTCGTCGGTGACAATGAGCGGCAGAGGCCCATCATCAAATCAGAAGGTAAAATAAGCAATGTGACTTCAGAGAATGGAGGTACATTACCATCTACAGATGCTTGCTGGAAACTCCATCCCTTTGCAACTAAGGATTCCTGAGTTATCGCCACCATCCTGGATTTTTTTATTTTTATTTTTATTTTTTGATAAAGGGGCTTTCAATGTATTGCCTATTGTTATTGTATTCATCGCACTTGATTCAACCAAGGTTTGAACTCAATGTCTTCATTTGCAGCCACGTCTGTAACCATTCGGCCACATGGGCCAGGTTCTCTTGCCACCATTCTAAAGACAGCACGATTCGCTATCAAGCCTGACTATCGCGGGTGCATGGGGTCAGTGGTTACCCGTCAGATATGGACTACATAGCTACAATCCCCCTCTTCGTCCTCTCTTAAAGCACCAGTACATGGCCCTGGCCCCTGGCCAAGTTCAGAGTCCAATTGGGCCCTGGCCCCTGGCCAAGTTCAGAGTCCAATTGAGCCTCTCCTAAAATTCCAGAGACTTGCACGCCGTCGATAAAATGAACATATCGACGCCAGACGGCCTCCGAAAGGGGCCCACAGCCGATGGGTGGCATGTACTGGTGGCTGAAAAAAGAATTGGCAATATGCTGGCAGGCATGCTTAGTGAACCTGGTTCGAACCAATGTTGGTTTCCCACAGTAAGCCGGTGAGGGCCTGGGTTTCGTTGTCCCTTCACCCTCAGGGCCTCCTCCTGCACCCGCCCACACACACTCTTCTTCTCTCTTGCCATTTCACAGTGCACTTCTGCATTGCATATTACCCTGTGCACCTTCTCACTCCTTTCTCCGCCCACATTCCTCCAGTCTGTGCAGCCGGTTTGCCTGATGGTCGTTCGCCAGCTGTGCATCAATGTGTATGCCTGCTCTGCTACTCTCTCCTACATTGGTCGTTCGCCAGCTGTGCATCAATGTGTATGCCTGCTCTGCTACTCTCTCCTACATTCCGCTGCATCTGCATGGCCAATAATTGAACACACAACCCACACCTTGCCCCGTAAACACCTCACCAGTGTGCTGCATGGATCACTTAGGGGCTCGCTTCATCTCCCCCGTTCTCCACACTCACAAATGGGAGACACTGATGATGCATTGTGGCCACACGCGCCCACGATCTTGAACACACTCGTCCAGTCTGGGGTGCTGCGCAAAATGCCCAGCTCGATTGACAGCGCGTGCTTGTCGGATGACGGCAGGCGCTCCTCCGAGGAATGGATTGACACTCATTCAAGTTTGTGACATGCATTAGAGCCTCTGACCGTCGCCCTACCGTCTTCACCCGAATAGAACGCCCAGTTATTATCACTGCATCTAAACTTAAACTTTGACCAAATACGGCTATAATGACCGGGCGTTCTATTCGGGTGAAGACAGCAGAGGTGGGCAATTTTTTTTTTCCCTCACCCTCGACCCAACCCGCCCAAATCTTTTTTTTCCCCCATCCACCCGGCCCAAGAATTTTAATGTTTACTTTTAGACAACCCCACCCACCCAAAATATTTTCTGAAATTTCAGCCCCATGCCCGATCCGCCCGTGACCCGAAAAAACCCCTCACCCACACCCGCCCGCACTCGTAAAAGTATTATCACCCGCCCGCGTCCAATACCTAAATTTTCTTCACCTGCACCCATCCGCCTCAGCCCGCGCCTGCCCATGCCAGTCCCTTACACCATCACGATTTCATCTGCAACATAGCATTGCAACAAAGACATCTAAAATCCTATTATTAAAACAACGGCAACATCAACAATGCGACTCGAACTTCCCGAAGGAAAATATTTCAAGATTTTTTATTTTTACCCAGGGGCAGTTGCACTGCTTTCGCACCGGCGTTACTTCATCAGGGGACCTGGTCAACTGAATCAGACACTATACTCGAGCCCGACGTACTACACAAGGAGAGGGGGGGATTGCATAATTTTCGGGTCATCCTGGGTCTATAGGTCGGGTGACCCAGGCCAAGCCATCACCCGCCTGCCACCCACCCAACGAGTGACCCAGGCCAAATCTTCACCCGCCCGTCACCCAGAAAGGCATGCTGGCTGCGCCTGCCCATAACCCACCCAAGACAGCTCATGTAGACCTAAATTCGACCCATCACCCTGTGGGTCGGGTGGGTGCAGGTGGGTGCGGCTCTGGGCGCCCGGTGCCCAGCTCTGGAAGACGGTAGCCTCTAACCACCGCCCTAGCCTCTGACCGTCGCCCTTTCACAGTTATGATTGGTCAGAGGCTCTCATGCATGAGCTGTTATTGAACTTTACTTTCTGAAAGGGCGACAGGCTTGAGATATCATCTTTATATCATCTTAAAAGATCAAATGGAACAGCCCATGGTAATTTAGGAGTGCGATATTTTACTCATCCAAGTAATGAACCTTAACTGTGAACTGACCTGGAGTAGCTGGGGATCCGAACTGAGGTCTCAGTCTGAATGTCAACAGCTAATGGGTGTACTGACTGAGCTTAGAATTCACACAAACTCGAAAGACGAGTGCAAACAATGACTGCATACTTCTAGGCTACCAGAGTGGCCCGGGACCACTTGCCCGACCGGCAAAAAAAAAAAAAAAAAAAAAAAAACTTTAAAAAAGTTAAAACTTTTTTATGTGACCCTGAGGCCCGGGATCACTTTATTTCTCTGCATAACATCGGTTTCTTTTTTTTTTTTTTTTTTTTTTTTTTTTTTTTTGCGGGGACCTACTTTGACCCTTGCACGGCCGGGCGGCCTGGCTGGTAGCCTGCTGCATACTGCAGTCGATCCAAAAATAAGTAAAAATAAAAAATGGAGCACTTCGTGAATACTACTGAATACACAACACTACGGTGATGTTCTCAGTTTGAGGGGAAAAAACAGAGAAAGAAAAGGAAAAAAAAGGAAAAAACTTTAAAAAAGGGAAAAAAAAAAAAGAAATGGCAAGGAGGGCTGAGGTACAACTGTACAATCCAGCTCATGTGACGGAATGGTACACAGTTCGACATATCTGGTACTGTTTTTTTTTTTTTTTAAAGGCTACATATATGGGACTGTTAAACCACCAGTACTTGGCTCAGCTATTGGCCATGGAAAAGAATTAGACTAGAAAGTTAGAAAACGTTTTTAGTCGGATGAATTTGGGCGCTCCTGCAGTGGCCCATACGTTTCCTAAAATTGTGGGCTTGTTAACGGGCACGACTTTAGGAACGAATGGTGGTTTAATAAACAGATGACTTCGTAATATTTTTCATATCCATATGGAAACATGCGGATACAGTGCCATAGGGGCTATAGCCCCTTTTGGAAAAAAAGACGAGGGGTGAAGTACATGTTTTGAGAAAATTTGGGGGAGGAGTTATTGGGGAGAATCATCCGAGAATGTGAAAAGCCAAGCTTCTCTGAACAGCCAAACATTGGGGAGAAGTCGCACTTCCAAATTTCGGTCTGATTTAATTACCCACCTGTGCCATGATGGTAATCAATGCGACTTGCCGAATGTAACAGCTCTTTCCACCCATGTTAGGTCCTGTGATGATCTGGCACTTCTCTCCAACCTCCTCCAGCTTTGTGTCATTAGGAACAAAGCCATCTTGCAGAGTCGCCTCCAATACCTGATCCATGCCATACCAGCAAACATAACATTAGCATCATCTGCCCCCCTCATTGGTCTATGCAGTCTCTGGTTCTATTTATGAGGTAAACTGGTTCGAGTTATCTAAACACGAGAGATAGAGCAGGGGCCATTTTCTAATGAATCTGGCCTCGTTTCTCCAGAATGGTTCAAAAATGCCCCCTCCTCTCTCTCTCTCTCTCTCTCTCTCTCTCTCTCTCTCTCTCTCTCTCTCTCTCTCTCTCTCTCTCT